AAACTTTATAAAAAATCAAATAAATATCTTGCATATCAAGGCTCAGAGTTACGTCTTCAGAACAATAAAACAGTGGTAACCCTTCACAGTAAGTCCGTTTGAACTTATGACAGACAATAGTTTCAAGCTTATGCTTGACAAAGTGTCAGAGTACAGGTATCTAAAGACCACTGTTTTTAGTAATGGAATGAACCCACTTTAGCTTATGCTTGACAAAGGTGTCAGATTACAGGTACTTGAAGACCACTGTTTTTAGTAATGACATTAACCCACTTTAGCTTATGCTAGACAAAGGTGTCAGACACAGGTACTTGAAGACCACTGTTTTTAGTAATGACATGAAGCCACTTTAGCTTATGCTAGACAAAGGTGTCAGATTACAGGTACTTGAAGACCACTGTTTTTAGTAATGACATGAAGCCATTTGGCTTATGCTAGACAAAGGTGTCAGATTGCAGGTATCTGAAGACCACTGTTTTTAGTAATGACATTAACCCACTTTAGCTTATGCTAGACAAAGGTGTCACATTACAGGTACTTGAAGACCACTGTTTTTAGTAATGACATGAAGCCACTTTAGCTTATGCTTGACAAAGTGTCAGATTACAGGTACCTGAAGACCACTGTTTTTAGTAATGACATGAAGCACACTTTAGCTTATGCTAGACAAAGCTGTCAGATTACAGGTACCTGAAGACCACTATTTTTAGTAATGAAATGAAGCACACTTTAGCTTATGCTTGACAAAAGTGTCAGAGTACAGGTACCTAAAGACTACTGTTTTTAGTAATGAAATGAAGCACACTTTAGCTTATGCTTGACAAAGGTGTCAGATTACAGGTACCCGAAGACCACTATTTTTAGTAATGACATGAAGCCACTTTAGCTTATACTAGACAAAGGTGTCACATTACAGGTACCCGAAGACCACTATTTTTGTAATGACATGAAGCCACTTTAGCTTATACTAGACAAAGGTGTCAGATTACAGGTACCCGAAGACCACTATTTTTAGTAATGACATGAAGCCACTTTAGCTTATACTAGACAAAGGTGTCAGATTACAGGTACCCGAAGACCACTATTTTTAGTAATGACATGAAGCCACTTTAGCTTATGCTAGACAAAGGTGTCACATTACAGGTACCCGAAGACCACGTTTTTTAGCTAATAATGTTAATCTCAGAGCAGAGACGGTTTACCGTGCTCTCATATTTTATCCTTAACTTTGAAATAACTGCAGTATGTTCATTATTAATCTGAAATCAAAATACTTATAGTTTATAAACAATAACCTAAAGCCAAGTTCAAGTCTTTTACTCTGCTCTATGAATATGGTTCTCACTTTGGCCTAAACATTTTCATCCGATTTGAGATCGCATAAGAGGAAAAACGCATAAAAATGATATTTTCTTTCATTTATTTCTTTCATTGTTATTAAGTACATAGTAACTCAATAATCTATCTGTGCTGTGCCAACTGCGAGTATCGAAACCAGATTTTTAGCATTATAAGCTCTGAAACTTACCGAAGAGTCACCGAGAAGCCTTACTTTTGTTCTCTCAAATATAGTAGAAATGGCGCTTCCCTACGTCCCTGGCTCATTTTACACTCAAGGTAATATTACGTAGTTAGCCAAGAAGCTTAAAAATATTTCGATGATCGCCGATTACAACATATCATCTGTCGAGTGTTGAAGTGGATTGCAATAATTCTTATGATATTCTTAACTAATTTCCCCAGTATGTTCACATGTCTTTCACTCTGCTGTATGTATACAGTCCCCAGTATGTTCACAAGTCTTTCACTCTGCTGTATGTACACAGTCCTTAGAATGTTCACAAGTCTTTCACTCTGCTGTATGTATACAGTCCCCAGTATGTTCACACGTCTTTCACTCTGCTGTATGTACACAGTCCTTAGTATGTTCACAAGTCTTTCACTCTGCTGTATGTATACAGTCCCCAGTATGTTCACAAGTCTTTCACTCTGCTGTATGTACACAGTCACCAGTATGTTCACAAGTCTCTCACTCTGCTGTATATTCACAGTCCTTAGTCTGTTCACACGTCTCTCACCCTGCTGTATGTACACAGTCCTTAATATGTTCCAACGTCTTTCACTCTGCTGTATATACACAATCCCCAGTATGTTCACACGTCTTTCACTCTGCTGTATGTACACAGCCCTTAGTATGTTCACAAGTCTATCACTCTGCTGTATATACCCAATCCTAAGTATGGTCATAAGTCTGTCATTCTGCTGTATATACTTAGTCTTCAGTATGGTCACACGTCTCTCACTCTGCTGTATGTACACAGTCTTTAGTACGGTCACAAGTTTCTTACTCTACTGTATATATATAGTCCTCAATATAGTCATAAGTCTCTCACTCTGCTGCATATACTTAGTCCTCAGTCCTTAGTACGATCACAAGTTTCTTACTCTACTGTATATATATATAGTCCTCAATATAGTCATAAGTCTCTCACTCTGCTGCATATACTTAGTCCTCAGTCCTTATTACGCTCACAAGTTTCTTACTCTACTGTATATATATGTATATAGTCCTCAATATAGTCATAAGTCTCTCACTCTGCTGCATATACTTAGTCCTCAGTATGGTCCTAAATGTCCCACTCTTCTGTTTATATATATTGTTGTTGCTTATAACACAAAGCTACAAAATTGGTTGGCTACTGTGCTATGCCCATCACGGTTATCGAAACCCGGGTTTTAGCGTTATGTACATACATGTATATGTATATACATAGCTTCTATTGTTTATGCCCACGAGAGGTTAACACCTATTACAATACAAGATGCAAAAATTCAAGTTAACTTTTAAAACGTGAGATGAAAATTGTAACACACAGTGAATCATGTTATAAAAGATATTCAGGCAATAAAAAGATTCAACAATTTGAAAGCTACAGGAGCGAAAAACATTCTCAGTGCTTTTTAATAAGAAAAAGCAATACCGAGCTTTTTATGGGAGACTCGTACTTTTTCTTACTCCCAAAGTAGTAATTCAAAACATTAAAAGTACACAAGTGTGAAGGTACTTCAGTAGTAGGTAATAAGTATCTTTCTTCTTTGATTTTATTTGATCCAAGTTCATGAGACAAGAGCAGTTTGTGAAGACTCGAAGTTCGCCTTGTGGTTTCGCAACTCATACCAGTTTTTCCCCCTAGACATATCAGTTCTTACACACAACTTTGGCTCAGCAAAACTAAACTACAACAGCGCTAATGAAAAACTGCACTAACTGGTAGACGGTGAATCCCCATCGCAATGTGGGTCCTAATTCTGCAGTCACTTCCGAAACCCAGGGCACATTTTATATCCCACATTATAACCAGTACCCTGGGGATCCTTTTAATTTATGCAGCGTCTTCAATTTCGTTTGTGGTTTGGATTTATTTAGTTCATTAAAATGTCATTCATCACAGGTTTGGATTTGCTGTTTTTAACGCAGTCCTTCCTTTTAACGTTAATTTTTGCTTAACTGTTTAAGTACTAGTTTTCTATGAATATATATATATATAATTGGAATTTTTCTTTGTTTGAAGTTAAGCACAAAGCTACACAATGGGTTATCTGTGCTCTGCCCACCACGGGTATCGAAACCCAGTTTCTAGCGTTGTAAGTCCACAGACATACAACGCTATGCCGCTGGAGAGGGGGGGGGGGATTTTTCTTCGTAAACAAGTTTACATATTAAAAAGTTCGAACGTGTTTTGTAAAGTACCGAATCAGCACTACAGGCTTAAGTGTGAGATAAAAAGGTATTATTATTATTATCATTATTCAGAACTTTACAATACAATACAGTGTTTTCATTTAGACCGCCGATTCGGTGATCGAGCACGAGAACATCTGAACCATAGTAAACTAGGGAACCAAGATATACCAATAGGCAGACATTTCACCATCAACAACCATACAGTTGAGACTTTTCAATTCTTGGACTTATTGATGCTCCAACAGACATTGATAAAAGAGAACGACTGGAAAGGAGATTAATCTATAACCTGGGGATTTTACAACCATCTGGTTTAAATAAACGCTTTTATTTCCTGTAGATTTCTATTTTTCAATTTTTTGTTTAAATTTTAATTGATATCTGTTTTATCTTTTCATGACTTGTAATTTTTATGTAATAGATATAATTTTGCTTAGAATTTTCACATTCAACATTCGAAATACTACGCACGGAAGTTCTTTGAATTCTGAGCATGCGCCTTTGTTGTAAGCTAGCTGGAAACGTCATCTTTCTTTAAATAATAAAAAAAGTATATAAAATTTGACGATTGTTCAACCTATTATTTAATTTTGTTAGTGTTTCCATTTATAACAATATATATATATATATACGTAATGACTAAGTCACAAATTCTGGGAGTGTCTGTAAATATCATAGCATAAAGTTTGAATTTCTTATTCTTTCCTCTGCTTTTTGTTTATTACATGATAACTCAAAAAGCCAAAACAATTTCATTGAGGTGACGTAGCTTCAAACGGAGTATCCGCTTTTCCAAGCATTATTAGTAACTAGTAGTAGTTAAAGAAAATCACAATTCTAATGTAAACAATGTTATCATTAACCCTTGAAGTTGCATCATCCCTACATCATTTCACAGGGAAGAATTAACATATAGCAATATATATAACTATTCAATCACAATTGAGTTTAATTTATCCTACTATTGTCTGTTAACATTCCACTATATGTGTGCAAATGCCATCCCTACTATCTTCTTTGCATATTAAGAACGACACGAAATGCGCAGGTAGTTCTTTGTGTAGTTTTGCTTGAATATCCAGAAACAAACAAAAAATATTATTTTTAATTATCATGTGAAGGAAACACTAAACTTGTATCTGAACATTACGTTTCAAAAGTTGCACGTGTTTTTGTTTGCCTACAACAAACCAGTTTTATATCATACATTGTAGTAGCTAATTCTTAAGAACACCATTATAATTTACATACTCACAGTTCATGTCTATAATTACAGTGGCGACCACAGGTGAGGTAAGATTATTATTTGAAGCCCGGCAGGTGAGTGTGGTTAACAAATCATCACGTCTGAGTTCCTGAAGAATATAGTCGTTTCGTACTCCAAAATCATGGGTCTTATGGAAACTATTGTCAATTTGTATCGAATCCTTCCACCAGGTCACGGTGGGGGGAGGATTTCCTAAATAAAAGTGACATATTTACCTTATGTTAACGAAATTTTAAAATATATTATGAAAGACTATTCTACGAGAAAAAAAAACTTCATAAAAATATGTTAAAAATAGAAAATACGCCTAATGCTACGTACGAGTACTCGGACGAGTTATTAACATGCCTATTTCTGTAACAAGTAGACCCAGGATTAAATCCTGGCTGCTATCGACACGTTCCAAGAAGGCGGTATCAGCTGAATCATGGGATACATACTTGTTGGTAGTTAGTATCTAATAGTAATACACTAAGAAATATTGTAATTGATTATGCTTAGGAGATCGTATAGGTTGCTAACCATACCAAGGGTTGATATCCGAACGCCATATCCTTGCCGAATACTTAATAAAACAATAATTATTTTTGTATAATATTATTTAAAGCTATTAATCAAATGATTATATATATATATTTTCAGATGACAGTTTGATGTAGCACTAATTTTGATGAAATTATAATGCTTAAGGAAAGATATACTTCAAAATGTTGTGTAGTACCTTATAGCACTAAGTCTGTTAACAGATATATTGCCACTTTGACTTTGTTTTTAAAATTTTGTTTTAGAATGTAACTGCAAATGAAATCTAAAATAACGCACTAGTGCTGCTTGAAAATGTGCACAATTCATTATATTGAAGTTGAAGAGGTATTGTTATTCAAAAACAATACGTTAAAATAGGCTTAAACATATATTATTCAGACTTTGAACTACATAGAATTTAAAATATTTTTAAGTTTCAAAAAGTTCCAAGCGCAGCCTATTAGTTAGCATGTCGGACTGGAGGTTTGAGTATCTCGGGTTTGAAACGAGATTTGTTCGCACCTTTGCACTTACAACTGCGGGTGCGATACAAGAGTCACAGTTAATTCCGCTATTCGATTAATAGCATTCGCTTCAGACAGCGGGTATTGCTGTGTGGTCCCCTCTCTCCCCGGACCACAGTTCAAAATAAGGGACGACTATACAATAGGGGTCTCCGACTTAGCCGTTTAATCCATTGCGTGAGATGTCTCGTTCAGGTGAACGAATGAACAGACAACCAACAATATAAACTAATGAAAAACATTTCAAATTAATAACTCGTTACATTTAAAAAAATTATGGTCTAATTAAACTTATATTTATAGGGCAAACCGAAGGTTATAACTAACCAATTTCACTGTCTCTTTAAATTCAATGCCAAAAGTCAACGAAAAAGTGGAAATGTCATATTTTATGGTGTTTTTCATCCATTTCCTAAGACGGGTTTGAGTTACTACACAAAAAATTACGTTAATCGAGCAGTCAACTTTGTGTGACGCAAGCCAAAAGTCTATAAAAAAAGGAAAAATTAATCCTATTTCAGGAGCTTTTTTATCCATCTTTTCGGGCAAAAATCCTAAAACAAAGTACTCAGTGTACATTGCTGAACAGTTCCAGTTACCATACAAAAAGTTACAGTAATAGATCCAGCCAATTTTGAGTAATGCAAACCAAAAGTTTATAAAAATGAAAATTGTACCTTATTTCAGAGGCAAAAATCCTAAAACAAGATAGCCTTGTATACCATCACACAATTTTCAGTTTCCATACCAAAAATTACAGTAATCAAGCCAGTCAACTCTGGGTAATGAATGCTGGCACACACATACATACATAATGAATATTCTATATAGTAAGATGGTTTTATAGATAAAATAAATTGAATTAAGCTGAGCAGTATCATCCACAATATTTTTATACATCATTATTGTTATCTATAACAGTTTTTCTGGTTGAAATGAAGCCATCTAAAAACTTTCAGCACATTCTGTTAGTTGTATCACTTTCGTCAGAACAAAATGAGACGAACTTGATTATTTAGATGTTTTTGTTACAAGTGTTATAAAGATTTTTCGTTTGCTCAGATATGAGATTCCTTTCACATAGAAACTTTAAATATGAATAAATTATTTTCATTAGAATACTGAAGAAAGTTGAGGTAGTTTTCGATACAATGCAAGAATGATTGCAGGTATAAGATCGCTGGAATCTATGGTATAAACTATTGAAATTACTTAACGTATTGTTATTATTTGAACAAAACACGATGCATATTTATCATTATTATTTGCTTCTATAACAGGCAACTCACCTCCACTAGCTAAACAACCGAGAGCAAGTTTGGAACCTTCGTTATATGGGCCAATTTCTCCATACACAGGTTGATTAGTTTCATCGACGATAGTAATATCCTGAGGTGGAACTGAAAACGATTGATTTTATACTTTAAACCTCAAAATAATTTAAGATTTAAAGAAATCTTGTATTTAAACTCCTATAACTAATGTAGGTTAATATTTATAATTACACGATATTGTATAAGCCCGGTATTTATGGAGGTAAAATAAAATGAACTTCATATTTCGTTAGATTTTTACTAGGATAAGGTTAGTATGTTCCATTTATAAACAAAATGAACATTTAAAGCACGGTCTTAATTTTTCTTATTATAATTTTTGCTAGTAACTGAATATATACGCGACAATATAGTACGTCTCCAATATCTTATATTTAGTAATATAAACAATTTAAATTTGCGCATTATTTTTCTTTCCTCATTTTAAGCTCTGTACATAATCTAGTTTAATCAAATTGAATGCACTGTGAGGTTTTGTTTGCCACTCACCAATAACCTTTAGCATTATGATTCTATTGAAGGTTCGACCGTATCTAAAGTCAATCCTGCAGCGATATTTTCCTTCATCGTTTTTCTCTACCGGGTTGATAGTTAGAACCGAAGGTTGGCTGTGAGTGCCGGGATCAAAATAACCTCTCTCTCTTAGAAAGTCACTCGTAAAGTGTTTGGATCTCTCCAGTGGACCATGTCTGGAGTCTACACTAAAAATTGGAGCACTAATTCCTAACTTGTACCACAGTACTAAGGATATAGAGTCGTCTTCGGAAGTAACACTGACATCGCACGAGAGATGAGCACTTCGACCCACAACAGATTGAAACACTGGGGTTTCTGTAAGAAATATATAAGATGGATATTCATTATTTTAGTACATTGTTCATATCTGTCAGGATTTTAAATATGAGTGAGCTAGTATTCTTTTACGGTAGGTGTCTGCGACTTTCTAGCGATAAATTCAGACAATAAACGGACAGCACACACTCCACTTGTTTCAAACTAATATATATTCAAAACCAGTTAAACGTATGTACAAAAATTCTTTACACTGTAGGAAATCACAGTTTTATCTAAAATTCTAAATAATTCTATTTTATTGTCAAGACTCCACATAGACTGATTCAATTACTTTATAATCTAAGTGACAATTATTTTTCTCTATTCTTATCACAATAGTATCAGTGAATCATGTACTTACGTTACCCCGTGGATAACCATAGTTGTATCCTTAACTTTAAATAATTGTCTTTTTTTCGTAAAAGTCCACACAGACGGGTTCAATTACTTTAGAATACCCTTTGACAAGACAAATTATTCTACTTATCTTTGTGAAACTGTGAAAATGTCGCCCATTACGGCTAAACTAACAATCACTAACTTAATGCTTTCTGACTGAACGTTACTTGACTTCTTTAAATTTAATGTTTTCTGACTAAACTTTTAACTTTTTTACAAATCGCCCGCCAGGCTAAACTGCAATCATTCAGTTTAGATCTGTCTAATTACACAAGCCTGCGAATTTAAACTCCATAAAAGTTGCTTTAGTTTTAATAACAGATTTTCCATAATTCACCTACGCATATTTCGGAAATAATATTCATTTTTTCAATCATCTAAGGATTTTTTACACATCGGGAAGAAAAAAAACTCTTACTTAGATCAAATTATTATTTCGTTTACCGCAATGAAAATTGTTTATTATCATGTTTGGGTTGTAGAACGATCGATAAGACTTTCACGTCGCAATTGGTCTAGTGAAATCTATAGCTAGTGGTTGTCAACATTTTAAGCATGACAAAAAGTGACCCGATTTCAATGAAAATGATGCACTTATGTAAAAGTACATATGATGTTTTGTGAAGAATTTGTATGTGATGGAGAAAAATTGATATAATTTTCGGATTCAGCATACAGGAATTACTGTAGAATATGTAACAATTTCAAGTCAATAAACCCATTGCAGGCCTGTGTCATCTCTCACTTGACTTTTCTCTACTTTACTTGCGCTCGCTAGTCACCTACATGTATACTTTGTTCACTGAGACCTCGAACTTTCGATAAATTACGCGAGCGACGCTGTAATACAACAATACTCACTTAAGGGAACGAGAAAAATACCGAAGATTCAAGTAACTTGGTGTCAACAATACCACAACAACTGAACCACACACACACAACGTACTACTTTTACCAAGTTACGCAACCAAATTTGTAATAACTATCGCCTTTAAAATAATTACTTTTAACTCTCTTGTTATAAAAAGTAAATTAAATATTAAATCACTAAATAATAACTCTTAAACTAAACGGTCTTGCATATCGAAGTTTCCATCGCCAACAGAATAAAGAAGGTGTTTTCCAGTGAATTCAACTATTTTTCATGGCCTTAAAAACGGTGTATTTTAGTGAACTCAGTTGTTTGTCATAGCACCAAAAAGGTGTATTCTGATAAATTAGGTTGTTTGTCATAGCGTAAAAAAAGACGTTCTTTGATAAATCATTTGTTTGTCACAGCATACAAAGTGTTTTCTAGATAATTAAATTGTTTGTAACAATGTAAAGAAGGCGTTTTCTACTGAATTTAAGTGTTTGTCACAACTTAAAGTGTTTTCTAGATAATTAAGTTATTTGTCACTCTATAAAGAAGGTGGTTTCTAGTGAACTCAGTTGTTTCTCAGATCATTTCTATAAACAAGAGCGTGAAGTAAAAAACCATAGTCGATTTTATATTATTTTATTCAGCTTTGTTGTTTGTTTCCACACAAAACTACACAATAGGCTATAATGCCCTTATGGCCACCACGGGTAATCGAACTCTGAATTATAGCGTTGTAAGCCAGAAACTTACCGTTTAGCCATAGAGAGACGTAGATATAGAAACATTTGGTCTTTAAAAAAGACTGTTGATAATTTGAAAGCTGGTACAACCGTTTATATATATATATATATTCGTCTTTCTAAGTTTACATTTTTAATATACTTTTTCTTTTAAATGTAGATTCCGAAGTTAAGATATTACTGATACTGTCAATATAACAGATGGCGTGATTATTAGCGATGTTCCTGTTGCTTCTTCTATATTTGAATAATTATGCTTTATTATTTTAAGTGCAGAAAGATGACAACAGCTTTTAAGTAAAGGCAGAACGTTTTACACACACACACTTATATATGTATATATAAGTGATTAATAAAAATGAAACAATATAAAAATGACTTTAAAAATATTTTTTAAAACTCTTGATTTATTACTGTTAATTTAAAAGAAATAAATAAAACCACAAATACATAAAAGCATAAAAATACCGGTTTCGCATCATCCAGGATACTCCCCAATTTCTACAATAAAGCTTTCTCGAACAGAACCTATTAGTGGATGATACGAAACCAGTATTTGTAAATTTTTATGCTTGTACGTATTTGTGATTTTATTTATTTCTTATTTTATTAACAGTAGGAGGACGTAGATATAGAAACATTCAGTCTTTAAGAAAGATTTCTGATAATTTGAAAAGCTGTACAACCGTGAAGGTAATAAACAATACTTCGAGATTCGAGGTCAATCAACAACGTTTAAGGCCACGTACATATATATAAATACGTAAACACAAACATACACGAGTGTAAAGAGAACTGAGAGTGGGCACTCAAATGGCGAATTTCACACACGACGAGAGATACTTTTCCAACTTTTGTAATCAACTTTTAATAAGTAAAAGTTTAAGCAGAGATTTGGAATTTCAATGATTGGTAATCATAAGGTGGTCACTCGTGCGTCTCAAAATGATTTAAATTAGTAATAACTAAATAGTTACCTATTCGAAGAGATAAATATATAGAATATTTAGAAATAATCTAAAACTAACTTTTACTTATGGACTAATTGGGATTTATATTGTGACAATGTTTTTAATGTGAATTTTACCATTAAGATAAATTAATTATCTTGGTGATTAATTATCTGCCTTGTTGTTTTTATCAAACAAAATCACTCGGATTTTTTTCTTAATAGAACGATGTTCGATTCCAAAATTACTTGATATCCTCACAAATAATACTTTAAATAATGCATTCAAGATAAAGCTTCTATTAACGTCATAAGCGAAACAAGATGTCAGTTTCACGAGAACAGAAAGAAAAGACTTCCAAAGAATACTTAGTTCCGACGTTATTTCCGCTTTCTTCAGTTATCATGCCATAACCTCGTTGTCTAGTGACGGATAGTGCAAACAAGTAATTTCCTCAAAATGCACATTTTGACATTTATTTCACCCATAAGAAAGCAAAACTAAAACTGTGGACTAAAAGTATATCATGAACTATACAATCACGATGAATCATATTACCTCTAATATATATATCATTCAAGATGGTTGTAAGATAATTGGCTGAAATACCGATATCTATGTTAATTTTATGTTGTTACCAAGTAACGGGCACCCCCCCCAGACTTATAACCATAAAAATCAGGTTTCGATACTCGTGGAAGGCACCTCACGGATAGCTCATTGTATAGCATTGTATTTAACTACAATCAAACAAACAAAAGCAAGTAAAGTGATGCCATCTTGAAATCAGTGAAAAAATACACACACACACCAAAAAATAGTTTATTCGATTTTATTACCGCTGCTGAACTTCATTATATAATACCTTGTTTCTCTAATAACATAAAACACTTCTAGTGCTATATTTTATGATATGCACAGGTAAAATACAATTACATAATATATAATATATGATGTTAATATTACATTACCCTTAAGCACACAAAATATTTTACGCCTTACCGTTGAGTCATTAAGGGTTGCAGATTTGCATAATTACTATACCGGGGCTTACAATCAGCATCAATGCATTATTAGCATTATGAGTGATTTGAGTTTATTGGATGGCAGAATGTTTGTATAGATATAGGATAAGTTGGGTGAACTCAAAAACAATCAAAACCTCCCTTCAAATTCACAGATTCAGTATTTGCTGAGTATTTGAAGAGTTGATACTCATGTTTTTCGAAACAGACTTGAAGGAAATGTTGACAGTTTCTAGATTTATCACTAGTAAATCTATATATTTTTATAAGGGTTAATACTTTAAATTATAGTCTGATCTCGAACCTCCCACACTCTACAAGAAGTTGCGACCCTTCAATAATACACTGTAAGAAAATTGTGCTGTAAATTAACATAAACATTGCGCTTTTTTACCACAACATATGTTTCCACAGTACAGGCTTGTGTGAACTATAACTGGAGTTTTGTTTGTAGCAATATAAGTATACAAATAACACGCGGTTTTCAGTTCAAAACTTTTATTTATATACATCATTTGTTCTGAAGTCAATTTAATTTATTATGTTTATGCAGATGATGTACAAGTCAACACAAAGTGTGTGCATCAGCCATCAGACTTGGGTTCTGTTTTGTTAGTCCACAGTTACTATGTTGTTTCAAACTTGCGTCGTAGTCATTCAAGGAAGTTTTTACAGCGTACAATTAATTCCAAATATATTTAAAATGCAGTTCACCCGAGTTAGAATATTGAAAACTAGAAACAGTTTTAGCCAAGGTACAATACTGCCAGTAATTTTATAATAATTAATTAAGCTATTTCGAGGAATCATAAGATAATTACTTCGTTAAGATATAAGCTAAGGAATTAAAATTGAAATAAAAATTGTAATGTAGAAAGACGATGCCAACTTAAGTACATAGTTTGCCATTTAGTGTATGTGGCGTATCAACCCATCATAGCAGAAGTTCGATAAAACACAATGTGACAAACCAGACTCGCTTTTTCCTAAAAGGAAACAGTTTCTAGATTCGTGAAAAAGA